TTAAAAAAAAAAAAAAAGAAGTAAATAGATCCTGGGTGAGAGAGGATTCCCAAGATAGGGTCGGACAATCTCCTGGAGAATGAATGATTGTAAGATTCTCAGCTAAGATCATCTGATATCCCAACTGGATGGCTGGGACTGGGGGGTAGAGAGGAGAAAAGACGTGGCCAGTGTAACAAGGGAGAGCAAAGCACGCTTATTGATGTGGCAACTTGGCAGCAGAGACCCCCCCAACTGGGGCATCTGGGGACCTGGCAGGGCTGTCAGTGAACATCCCAGAGAAAAGGGGATTGGCGGGCAACAGGTTTCTGGGTTCTATATGAAAAGGCAGAGGCCACAAACACAGAGTTTGTAAACTCACCCGATAAATTTTGATGAGCTAAATTTTGAACTGGCCCGCATCTTGGCATTACTCCTTCTTCTCTAACACTATCCTTTCTTCCAGCCAGAACATGATCAGTGGACTGACAGGGACAGAGGCCAGATCACAGTGAGTGAGGGGTAAGAAGTAAAAGAAAGGTGGAGGATTAGGATAAGTGTAGGCAATTTTTTCAAGAAGTTTGAGGAAAATTATAACATAGCAGCTTTTTAAAAAGATAAGTAATAAGGGAACAGATGTTTATGATTAGTGGAAGAAGAAAGACATTGAAGAATAATAGAGGAGGTAAAATTGATGGAATAAGGTTCATGAGAGAGGGTGGAATGGAATAGACATCCATGCACATGTGGCAGGTGGTCCTTAGACTGGTAGAGGGACCCCTCTTCCACTATGATGGGCAGGGAGGGGGAAAATGAACATGAATGCAGAAAAGGTGACAGAAGAGTGGGCAGGAGGTTGAAGAAGTTTCTTCCTGGGAGCTTTGTTTTATTTGTGAAGGAGGAAGTGACATTATTTTTAGAAGAGTGGATAGGGGTTAAAACAGTCATGGTGGAGAATGGGGAGGGGACCTGACCACTAAAAGAACCCCTGAGCCACACAAGGACCCACTGGGTTTGAAGGTTGTGAGTGTGTAAGGTCACCCACCCAGGCCCCATATCCATGGAGGATTTTCTCTCAGAGTGCTCCACATCCTGAAGTAGGAACAGCAGTAGCAAACGGCTATAAAGCAGGTTGTCGAAGAGAGGAGTACTCCATGTGAGCTCTCAGAGGTGAGGTGTTCCTGAAGGTGACAAGATGATGGCTGAGGCCATGGGAGTGAAGGCTGAGAGGAGGAAAGTCACTGGAGTTGAAGTTGAGGCAACACGAGGTGAAAATGTTGACTGGTAATCCAAGGGTCATCTTAGTTTCCTCATATGACATCAGGACTCAGGACAGATATAAGACTCAACAAGCTGCTAACAAGCTGCTAAGGTATTCAAGAAGCATGGTGACGATCAGAAGTAAAGCAGGTGATGGCAACTAGGAGTGATTGGAGGTGAGATTTTTACATAACTCTTAAGGGTTTGTGATATGGAGGTCTCCCAACAGCCTCTTCAGGGGTAACACATCCCTGTTCATCTCAGGGGTCCTGGAGGACCTCCCCATTCTCCCAAGTGTGTGCTTGCACACACACACACACACACACACACACCTTGCTGCAATGAGAATGGGTCCTCTTCTCTAAGTACTGAGATTCCCCATAAGACTTATTTTAGAAAGGTTTTTGTGAGCAAAAAAACTGAACACAACTGATGAGGCCCAACCCTTCCCAACCCCACAATGAGCCCAAGACCATCCAGTGAGTTGATAGAGGTACCACAGCTGCATTCCATTAGGGTACCATCTGCTATGCACTTTCCCCTCCTAAGACACCCCTAGAGCTATTGCTGGTGATGAGGCATTCTTGTTAGGGCTGAGGAGTTGAGTGCTGTTGAGATCCAGCAGAGTCTGGAACCCAGGAGAGGGAGAAGCAGTGGCCATAGAGGGGCTATGGAATTCCCTGGACACCTGTTACAGGGCAGAGAGGATGAGGAGGAAAATGAGGATGGGCAGGCTGGGGGAGTGGGGGGCCTCTAGTCAATTCCAGCCCAGCTAGGGAGGCCAGCTTAGTAACCAGGCAACAGAGGTTGAGTTCCTTCTGCCTCTCACTGTGCAGGACCTTAAATCATTGAGGGTCCTGTTTATGTAGAGACTCTTTTTATAAGCTATTCAAAGCAAGGCTGGGAGGGAGAAATAGGGAAAGAAAAATTCCCTTTGAATTTCCATTGCTTTCAGAGTCCACAATTTAATGAGTCATGCATTCTGAATCCTTGCTTTGTCTACACGTTTTCATTTCAAAATACTAAAAACACTTTGTTTGGAACATGGCTATTTTTAGTTCATATATCAAGAGTGCACATCCATTTCTCCCCGTATTAGAAAATCTTCCTTCAGATTGGGTTGGGACAGCACCACAGTGGTAGGGCTGTTTACTTAGCTCTCACTGTTGAAGCCACCTGGGCATCCCTCTGTTCCTGGGGACTCTCTTCCAGCTGGCCTTCTGAGCCTACTGACTATCCATGAGTCAGCTCTAGACCTGGCCCAAAGACCCAGATCCCATAGTCTGGACGAAAGGGGAAGAACATCTCCTCAGACTTCCAGACTGAGGAGAGACAAGCCAGGTCTTCATGACTTGTACCCTTGCAAGACTCAAAGAAATGAAGTAGAAGTGAAGGACGTCCGCATCTATGGGTCATCTCCTTCAGGTGTGTCAAGAGAAAGTCTACCCACACCTTGACAAAGACAGGAATAGATAGTCTGTGGAATTCTTTTGTAAATTTCAGGAGGAGATCTGGGAGAAAGACTGGGGGAGTAAAGAGGGGGTACCCTACTTCCCCAGTCCCTGCCATCTACATAGGATGTCTTTCCACACTGCACTTAGTGCCCCAAGCCAGCTTTATCTACCTCATTGCTTTTGTTCCATCAGTGATAGTTCTCTCCTCTGGGGACCACCTTCTTTTAAATGCTCCAGCTTAGAGCATTAATAGCAAGCACCTTACCAGCATTTAATGGATAGCCAGCCAACTTCAAGAATGGGATACAAAAACCAATATCTCAAGGCACTGGGTTGACAAGGTATATACTTCTCTGGTCATTGCCTTGTTCTTCCATCCATGTATTTATAGTGGAAGCAGCCGTGTTCATACCCTCTGCCTCTCCTCCCCTGGACTGTTGATTTGATCAGGAGTGGACAGCAATGAGCCTATGTCCAGTGAGATTAGAATTGAGACCATACTGACTCTCAACTGAGGCTGGCTGCCAAATTGGCAGCTATCTGGCAAGGATAGTTTTCATATGGACAGAGAAACTGGAGATGTAGACAGGCAGAGAGAAGCAGCTTTCTCAGGTTTTCTGTATCACACTAGGCCCTCATTCCAGCCACCTCTGAGGCCTTGGATTCTATGAGGCAACTCCTCCACCCCCAACCCCTGCCTGAAGTCTTCCAAACATGTTCCTCTTTTCATTTAGGAGAGCGCTACCTGATTTCTGTTACTTGCAACCAAAATGGTACCAGGAGGTGTGAGAATGACCTGGGGTAGGTAGATGGGACACATCAAGGAGATGCCTCCCTACTTTATAATTTTGCCCTACTCTGCCTGTATCAGGTATAATCACATAGGCCACCACCCAGCATGCTTCAGGGTCTGAGAAGGCCCCTGATACTCTGTAAGCTAGCCCCAATACTGTACTCTCTGGAGGATGTTCCTAGCTGAGGAAAAAAGGACAATGTGCTCTGCAAGTATTCACTGCTGAGGACTGATGTGAGAACATGTTCCAGTGGGCCATGTTCCCTTCCCCTCCATGCCCAACCTTTGTGCTGAGACCTTGACAATGGAGCCCACTCCCATGGCCCCATCTCATCCTTCTTCTTTTTAACTATGTTGCTCTGCCCATTGCACAAGGAAATCTTTGAGAAATGTGTAGGTGTGCCCCCAAGGAAAGAGTAAGCAAATGTGTGTTTGTGGTGGGCCTGGGTGTGAATGCGGGATGGGAACAATCCTGGAGCCATAGAGACCCTCAGCCTGGGGTCCAAAAAGAATTAATGCCAACCCCCAAGGAGATGGCATGGGAGAAGCAGGTTTGTTCCACTTGGGCTACCGCTACCCCTGGAGACAAATGAAACTAAACTGTCTAATTCATGCCCATCAAAATTCTGGCCAAAAAATTCTAAATCCTAAAGCCACAGGAACAAATGAGGAAATATTTTTTATGTGGGAATATGTTGAGCGAAAATGGTCTGACTCCATCAGACTTCTTTGCTGTTTCCTGTATGATATCTTCATATCTAGTAGGGTAGACAACTGTCCTTTTCCTCTGTAGTATCAGCCACATTTGCCATTTGCCACAGCCCACACAGGACATGCAGAAATGGTCCTCTGTTCCAGTCCTGACCTCCTTCCCTCAACATGCCCCTGCCCCCATTTTCTCAGGGCAAGCACCCAGGATCTTATCACTTATCCCAGTCTGAGCAAAGGCCAACCAGAAAATTCACCCTTGGACTGGACCATTCCTCCTCTTGTGGCTCCTCTCCTGGAAGGGGTGAGCTGGGATGGGGAGGCCCAGCCCAGGTCATCCTCCCACCTCTGGCCAACCCTCCTGAGCCAACCCTCCAAGCCTGCCCTTCAGCATACCATGCCCTTGGCCAAGGGTCTTGTCAACTCCCAGCTTTGATTTCCCAAACAATGAGTTGTGTTGGAGAAGGTTCTAGATAGAGTTTTATAGCATTCTGTGCTGGGCCCTGCAGTCTAGCCCCCAGCGCCTGGGAGAAATTACTGAAAATCAGGAGCTGTAGTCACCCGAAATATTCCCACTTCCTTTTTATCCCCTGCAGCCCAACCATAAACTCAGCCATAGACCCTTTTGGCCACTCCTGGCAGCTGGTGGCAGAGACGGCTGGAGAGCCCATTCCAAACAGCCTTAGGGAGACCATTTCAGAACACATCCAATTATATGACTCACCACAGACCAACTCATCAACACCAGCATCACATAGATCAAAATTCCCCTCCCTACAAAACCACCTAGAGTTGAAATTCCTCTTGAGTTTTTACATCCTTGAATGTCTCCGAGGAAAAGAAAGAGAACAGAATGGAACCCAGGAAGCCTGTGGCTTGGAGCGCACAGAGTCCCTCCCCTTGAACTGACCCCCTCACCTGTAAGTGGGGAGAGGCAGGTAGGCCAGTGGTTACAAATGTAAGTTTTGGATTCAGAGACATTTGGGTGGGAGTCCTGGGTTTACCTTTGCCTGTGCCATCTGGAGCAAGTTGTTGAATGCCTGTCTTACTTTTCTCCTGTAAAAACGGGGTTAATAACCCTCCCCTGGAGTTATCATGAAGATTCATTGAGATTATCTTTGCCAAGCTTCTCCTCCCATGCTGCCACATGGTACGCACTCTATAAATGATATCGGTTCCTGTTTTTCCTAACAAGCACCCCCTAACCTAATCAGACCCTGATAAGGTCAGTGTTCAAACCCATCCCCTTGCCCCATCCACACATCCCAGATACAGTCAGTGGAAACCTGTCAGGTTCAAGACGTACAGTATAATCTCTGTACCCAGCTGGGACACCCATCCTCCCAGGACCCCTCCCAGGTGTCCTGTCCAGAGGGCCTCCTCTCTTCCTGCCCCCCACACTCGGACACTCAGCAGCAAAGGCTCCCAGCCCCCGCACCACCCCCTACCTGAGGGCTGAAAACAATCAAGTCCTGAGCAAACACTTGAGAAAGCGCTTTCTCCCGGGGGTTTGGGGGGAGAAGACTTGCCAAGTGGGGAAGTCGGGGGCCTGGCTCCTCGGTGGCTCCTCTCCCCCTCCGGGGGCTCCTCTGCCCCCCTTTTCCTCATTCTCAGGCTTCCTCTCTCCAGGTTGCTCGGGCAGCCGCATCGGAGGTCCAGAGTGATGTTTTCAGAGAGATTTGTGAGCACATCAAGGGAACTTCAACGGAGACACACACTCTGCAAGGAGTTGACAGAAACTTACTGCCTGCACAGTGCTGGTTGGTGATTTACTCAAAGTCAGTTGCCTAAATAATTCACACCCTCCCTTCTGTGTTTAAACAGGACGATGGTAGAAGCACAATCCTGGCACAAGAAAAATAATTACAGTTGTGGCAGATGTTTAGTTATTAATAAGGCCTCGATGTCCCCAGAGGGTATTATGCAAAAAAACCAGTAATGTGTCTTTGGAACCAGCCTTAATATTGACAGGTACTTTTCCATTCACACTCCCGTGGGCTTTGCTGGAGTGTAAGCTATGTGGACAGAGCTATAGAACATCCAACAGGACTGCAGCTTGCAAGAAAGCCCAGCACCTTGCCAGCGTAATTTGTTGCCTTGCTGTTGACATCAGCCGAGCCACAGAAACAAAGTGGGGCCAGAGTTAGAAATAGCCATCCTAGGGAGAGGACTCCTGCCAAGCCTCCTAAGCTTCTGACACTGCTCACGATCCCAGGGCAAAATCATCCTATCTTCCTTGGACGAAACAAAGAGCATCCAAGATTAGTATCCCTTTACCAGCTTCCGTCAGGCTCGCTTTCCACGTGTACGGAGCCTCTGGGTTCCCTTAATGTCCTCATCTCTCTTCTTTCTCCAACACCTGGTTAACCCCTACTTGGCCTTTACAACTAGGCTCAGGTGAGGGCACCTGGCTGGGTTAAGGCACCCCTCAGCTGTGCCTACTTCTGCTGTTGTCCACAATCTCTGCCCCCTCTTTCCTGGCAACCCTGCATTGAGAAAAGCTCCAGGCAGGGAGGAATTCAGACACACATTGTGTCCTGTGGGCCCATGCAGGGACAACCTTAAAGTAAGTGGTGTGCAATAAACACTTACTGAACTAACATTTAATCGATATTGGCTCTCTTTGGTTCCACATTGAAGTTAAAAGGAAAATAAAACAAAGAGTCTCAAGAGATGTGAAGTAGAGAGTTTAACTGGAAGAATCTTGGTGATGACGCGAACAAGATCTGGTTCCCCTGCATCGAGTCCTTGTCTGAGAGAGGCACTGGTCTCCGCTCCGTCCTTTTCCTCTGGCAATGGACAGATGAGTCTCCATTCCTCACTCTTGGCCCCTGCACATCGCCTGCCCTACAAGCAGCCTCCTGATTCTGATGAGAGGTATATTTCCATGTCTGGGAAGCATTCCCCTGCAGAAGCCAGCCCACAGGGGGTAAGGCTCAGAAAATGCCTTTAGGAAACACAAAGCCTTGAAGAGGTGTGTGCGAATGTTATCACTGTTGTAAACTACGGTTGTAAATCTGTTGCATGGTAGGCACTGAACGTCAGCCCCATCCCAGCTCAATGAGACAGGCTCCGCCCTATGCATAAGGTATGTCAGTTCCTAGCATGATGAATGACATACGTATAAATTGACTGTGTGTTTGTAACTTCCACCTTGACCAGGAACCCGCATAATCTAGATCAGTGCTGGGCCAGATGGTCTCTGATGATCCTGACTATAAGATCTTTGGTTCTCTGGGGGTTGTGGCATGTGATTTGGACTCTCCGCCAAAACTGGGGCTCTATTTCGTGCAATTGGGCTGGAAACTCCTGAAGGTTGGGGCCACAGAGACACCCTATAAAGGGACACCCTATAGAGCACCCGCTTACCCACACATGCTGCACATACGTCTACACTCTTTTAGTCATTCCCAGTTATCATGTTAAGTTAAAAGGGAAAAACGAGTTTCCTGTGTCATTACAGTAGAAATGCAAAAGAAAAGTGACATTTTATTTCCAAATAGGCTTTCGGTTGCCATGAAAGGCTTAGCACCGTGGAAGTTGTGATTGGTAGCAAACACCGATTTCAAAAGAGAGTAATCAGCTCCCCATATACAAGAACCTCTGAACGTGTTGAGTCGCCTCCCTCATCAGTCCCCTCCAGGCAGAGTGGACACCAGGGCAGGGGCCCCCTCCAGTGCTAGTCTGCCTGCCAAGACAGCGATAGGACCTGCCAGCAGCTCTCAGCAGAGGGTGTCCAAGCTGGTGGTCACAAGGGCATTAGAACCCAATCGACTTAAATACTTGGAACTTGCTCGTAGCTCAACAGGAGCATGGGGCACTGGAGGTGGCAGTTCCCCATAAGGAACGATTGTTCCTGCTGCTCAGCTCGCCCCTGGTGCCCTTCACTGCGGCACTCACGATGTGCCAGAGAAACACAAAGCCAGGGGCTGGTCCCTCAGCCAGAAGGGGATTTGGCTCGTCCAGCCAAAAACCATCTCACCAGAATGCTCCTCTCCAGATCATAGCTGGCCCAACACACAATGGGGGACACCAAGCGGCCCTCCACGGGCTGGGACTGACGGCCCATGGCCAACCAATGAGGCACTCTAAGTTGGCATCTGCATAGAAGATCGCCCTGCATCTTCCCATTTCACTAGGAGCTTCTCAAAGCCAAGAGCCATGGTGCATGGACCTCCCAAGTCCCCAGTGGCCTTAGGCACCTTGGGACCCACAGTAAATACCTACTGAAAATAACTCTTTGTTCCCAAATTAACTGCTCACCTCATTTCCTCATGAGAATCCTAAGGGCAATTAATTTCTAGAATGTCTCCTTCATGCCCATTTGCCAGTTGTCTTTATTATCTGAAAGGTCAACCAGAAGCTGGTTTTTGAGCCCAAGTTTTGAAGTTAGAGCTTTGGGCTCATTCCTGGACCCACATTAGTGTCCTCTTCAGCTTTTCATTTTGACAAATGACCCAACCACTTCCTTTAACACCTAAAAAGTTCCTTGAGCACTGGTCACTCACTATGAGGCACTCTGGGCCACTCAAGGGCTCCATCTGCTCCATCTCTTTTACCAAACCATAATATGCAGAGATTAGGGGTAGTGATGTGTTTAAGAATATGGCTCATTGAATCAGACTGTGCAGTTCAAATCCTGGCTTTGCCACTTATGGGCTGTGTGACTGCAGACAAGTTTCTTGACCTCTCTGTGCTTCACTTCCCTCATCTGCAAAATGGACCTCATAATAATAGCACCTACTTTTTAGGATTATTGTAAAGTGCTTGGCATGGAGCATACTACATATGCTAGCTATCATGATTAATTCCTTCCTTTTGCACCTAAAAGGCAGTGGCTGAACACCCACTCTGTTCAGATGGGTGCTGGGCTGAACCCACAGTGGGATAGGAGAGGGGGTGGCACAGAAGTGAATGCACCGCAGATTCAGCCCCACAGAACCCAGAATCAAGATGGGGATACAGAAACAAAACACAGGCCAAAGAAGGAGGTTGCTCTTGCTCTTTCAGTTCAAAGAGTCAATTTGTCCTAACGAGTATCCGGGAGGGGAGGTTTTGATTCTTCCCTTCAGTCCCACCATTTAAGAACATAATAGATCCCTGTGCCTGCCTCTGAGGAAGGGAGATTTGGGATGCAGTCTGCATGAATTGGTCAACTTTGTCATTCCAGCATCCATGTCTCCTAGTATCTATTTGGGTACATGGGTCACAGACAAACTCGGTCCTTCATAGATTTTGGTCCCTTTGGAGTATCTAAAATTACAATACCTGTGGGAGTAAGGTATGGCTGAAAATCTAATGTTTATGATTAGAGTGTACAAGCCTGCATTTTTTGGCATAAATAATTCATAAGTATGGGGTGAATGGTTCTATTTCATTTCTAGGAAGCCCAAATACTTCCCAGACTGATTATTTAGACTAAGACCCACTTCAAATGTCCACCAAGAATACTCCCACCATTCTGACCACATCGGGCATCAAGTTAGAGTCTTTTGTGCCTTGTAGCCCCTGCTATATTTTACAGTTGTTGACAGACACATTATAATCGTAACTGTGCTCTATAATATTTGAAAAGAGTTTTGCATGTGGGTCTTTTCTCTCAAAACCCTCCACACATGTGTCGTCAAATTGATCCACAAATAAAATGTATTTTTATTAGAATGGAATACAATTCTGGCTCTTTGTTCATCATGTCTTTCACTTATTATTTTTTAGCATATTTCAAGTATATAATACATTATTATTAACGATAGTCATCTTGCTGTACACTAGGTCTCCAGAATGTATCTTATAACTAAAATATTGTATCCTCTGACCACCTCTGACCAACATTTCCCCTTTTCCTCCACTCCCAGGCCCTGGTAACCACCATTCTGTTATCTGTTACTATGATAGTAACTTTTTTGACTTTTTTTTTTTTTTTAGATTCCACATATATAAGTGAGGTCATGCATTATTTGTCATTCTGTGTCTGGCTTATTTCTTTTTATTCCTTTTTTAAAAAAAGATTTATTTATTTATTTTAGAGACAGAGAAAGAGAGTTCACATGTGTGCAGGGGCGGGGAGGGGCAGAGGGAGAGGGTGAGGGAGAGAGAAACTCAAGCGGACTCCATGCTGAGCAGGGAGCCTGACATGGAGCTCCATCCCACAACCCTGAGATCATGACCTGAGCTGAAACCAAGAGTTGGATGCTTAACTGACTGTGCTACCCAGGGGCCCCTGGTTTATTTCACTTAGCATAATACCCTCCAGGTTCATCCATGTTGTAGCAAATGGCAGGATTTCCTTCTTTTTTGGCTGATTAATATTCCAATGAGTGTGTGTGTGTGTGTGTGTGCATGTGTGTATGAGATTAGATAGATAGATAGATACAGATATATGTGACTGATATATATATCACATTTTCTTTATTGATTCACCTATTGATGGACACTTAGATTGTTTCCATATTTTGGCTACTGTGAATAATGCTGCAATGAACAGGAAAGTACAAAAGATAGTGACTTTATTTCCTCTGAATATATACCCAGAAGTGGAATTGCTGGATCTTATGGAAATTCTATTTTTAACTGTTTGGGGAACCTCCATAATGTTTTCTATTGTGGTTGTACCAATTTACAATCTCACCAACAGTGCACAAGTGTTCCCTTTAATATAATTCTGTTTGGAAGGTACCTTTGGACAAAATGTTGACTGGAGTAGGTCATGCCATGTGGTA